CTACCTTACCCATTACAAAGATAGTTTCCCCAATTATCACCTCTAATACCATTAACTCTCAGGCATTTACCTTCCCCCCCCCGCATCCCCCTTCTGTTCTGAAATGTGATTTGTCCTTTTCATATGTGTTCATTTTTTTTAATTGTATCCTTTGGTATATATGGCTGTGACTATTTTCTTCCACTATTTGATCTGAGGAAGTGGGTCTGGCCCCTGAAAGCTCATCATCTAATAAACCATCTTGTTAGTCTTTAAAGTGCTACATTGTCCTGTATTTTGTTTCAGCTACACCAGACTAACACGGCTACATTTCTATCACTATTCTGCTTGAAGATTGTCTAACTCCACACAAAACAGCTGGTGTGTGGTAGGAAAAGGGGCCCTCTCTTATAACCTTTAGCATAGTGGCGAAGGTGGGGCAATGATCCTAATGTGGAGCAATGCTCAGTTCAAGTTCGCGCTGTGCCTGATGAGGAAAAGCACCCACAGAACAAAACCAGTGGGTGCTCAGTACTGACTGATCAGTTGTTTGATGGCAGGCAAAAGACACTGGAAGTGAAAGTGGAGTGGGGTAGGAAAAGGGTAACACAGGTGGGGCCTTGGGAGAAGGGCTGGAGAGGAGCAGGGCCTCAGGGTGCAGCACCCACCCAGAAAAAATGAAAATAGGCAGGGTGAGCTGGAGGGATTTGAACAGGGATCTGCCTCTTCTCATGTGAGTGCCGTGGGCCATATGGTCGCCCTCAGTCTCTCCTGTTGATGTTGTTACATTTTAAATAACTGAACAATTAAAATATCAATTGGGCCAGAAAAAGAGTTTGAATGACTCTACAGCCTAGTGGTTAGGGAACTCACCTGTGAGGTGGAAAATCTATGTTCAAATTCCTTCACCTCATCTGGCACTTGAACTAGGAGTCTCTCCCATCCTAGGGGAGTACCCTAAGTCATGGGGTAAAGTTATGAGGGAATGCCTTCTCCTGCCCATGTGTGGCTGTGGATGATTTAAACAGCCCCTGATTGTGCTGTGCATGTGACATAGGCAACTGAACTCCCACCTTCTCCCAATTTGTGAATCACAAGCACTGATCATCACCTCCTAGCAGTCCAGATTTAGGCATGGGAATCTGACCTGGGGGCGGAGGCTGAGGACACCCCAGCTCATCTGCATCTCCCATTGGCTAGATTAGGCAGAAACACCCCTCCCCTCAGTCCATTGGCTTTTATGCATCACAGTCTAAGGCACCTATCAGATAGGAGCCTCAGGACTAACTCACAGTTTTCAAACTGCAATATTGGTCCTATGCCTAGAAAACACTTAAAGGTGATGAACTGTGACAGTCTCAGTGTCCAAGTTCCTTTTATGTATCCAGGCATAGGCATTTGATTATGGATGGACTGTTTAGTGCTTTGTTGAAAACTGATTTGGATTTGGAGAAACAACAGGTTTAAGTGAACATACTTTGTGCATGTGCAAGAGTCTGTGAAAGACAATAAAGCTAATGCTTGGCCAGTGTTGCACAGCAGGGAATTTGCATGTGTGTGAGAGAAATTTAAGAGGGGAGGGAATCAATTTAAATGTCAGGTCATGGGGATTATGATCTGGGATAGTGCATAAGGAAAGATGCAGTGTTCCAGAAAAAAGCTACTGCTATATGATAGATGATATTGGCTCATCTGTGTGTGTGAACTTGGAGCACCATTCACTGCAGCAATTGGTGAAGGTCCTGAGAATAAGGCTGGAGTTTGCAGAATTCCTACTAAATAGGGGGTCTTGGCCCACAAAGACCCCAGAGTCTCCCCTAATCCCATGGACACAATGCTCACCAGTAAAATCCCAGGTCTTTTACTTCTGTGAACCATCCCTTTTATTCTTTTAACCACACTCAAAACTAGCAGCAAGTTGCAATGAGATAAATAATAATAAATACACTAGAAGGATGTTACCTTAAATGTGTCTCCAGGATTCTGCGAGGAAGGTAAAAAACTCCCCAGGCCTCTGCCACTTCGGCCCCTGAAGAAAGAAAAAAATCCTTCCTGGACTCGAAATAGGCAATCCATCAGAGCCACAGCATCCACAAAACACAGCTTTGGTGCTGCTAGTGCCAGGAAGGGAAGGTGAAGCTGCTAGAATAGACCAAAAAGCAAGAGGCTTCACAAAGCCTAAAGTAGGGTTTAAATTAATGAAAGGCCAAGGTGAGGGACTAATCAAATCTCTTCCTCCCCAAGCTAGCTAATCAGTGACTAGAGACTTTGAAGGGGTGTCCCTTCCATCTTCTCAACACATGTTCTCCTCCCACATTCAATTGGGGCCTGGGCCTCAGTTACTGCTTTCCCCTTGTGTCTCCAACCTGTGGAGGCAGGTAGGTAGTATTGGTCAGAGTCCCACAACAACATAAAAATTAAGCTAGCCCCAACCATTTACCAGAATTCAAGATGACATATGTGGGGCTCTGTCTCTCAATATGTAAACTTCACAATAGCAAATATTGATGGTTATCTATTAACAGCATGAGGGCATGTTGTTTTGATCCATCTGCATGTTGTTTTGGTCTGTGTTTGGGTATTTTGTTTATTTTAGAATTAGATGGAATTGCGAGTACATGCATTAGGAAATGATATGTTCAAATATAGTCAATATATTTGTGTCTTTTTTAATGATAAAATAAACATTTCTGTTCATCTAGCTGTGATGATTTATGTCCTGGAGGGAAATAGAACACCTTCTGGAGTTATTTACCAGATTGATGCAGTTGATCCCGAACAGTCACAACTCATAGTAAGTTTATTTAAAGGGGAAAGAGAGAACAATTGAGAGAGAGAGAATGCAGTCCCCCGTATCTGAAATATAACTAATTCCCAGTAACTTTCTCCACTGAACTCACTAATCAGGCACATAGAAAAAGGTATATTGCCAGTTGAAATGAAACATTTTAAACAAACTAGGACAAAATAATGTTATTTTTTTATAAGAAGAGGCTCTCCTTCACCATTTGGGTATGGAGGGGGAGTTACATTTTGAACACTCCAAAGTTCAAGTTTGGAGGCAGGGTTTTGCTATGACCCATCAAAGATATAGTAGGTAATGGGGTCTTTCTTACAAATTGCCTCCAAAATCCCTTTACAAAGTAAGGGTAAAACAGGGCTTTTAATTTTTTATATTCCATTGAAGTTTCTTTTAAATGGAACATCGGAGCAATGGAGGCTCAGCATGTAGCATATGGAAAGCAATGTAGTGTGATTTGTGGCCAATAGCTTAAAACGTGGCACTACCTGATATGAAAAGGCTCTGGAGAGAAGCAGGATTTTCTGAAAAGTGGCAAATTTGCAGATCTGGAAAAGGTAATTGCATTTACCTCAAACTGGTAACATTATCACAAACAGAAACTTCACCCTGCAGCATTACTCCAAAGAGCAATTACATTGTAGGAGCTGCAGTCTTATTCTTCTTACTCAGTCTCTTCTCAGAGAAATTTCCATTTAGACAATGTGGGTTTGGCTGAATAAGCAATGGTGTAAAGGCCTCAGCAGTTAGCTCTCGATTCATTATTCTTGTCAACGAAAGAAAAAAATAATTGCAGTGAATTCTTCACAAGCAAAAGTCTTTGAATCTGTAGTAAATCCCAGTCGTAATAAGGTGCTGCAAATGCAGAAATGACGGACTGCTGGTACAATAATACTCCCAGCAGGAAAACTAGAGTGATCCATTGACAAGAATGTATTAAACTTAATTGATTTGATTATTCAGCTGCTTTTCCAGAAACTTCAGTTACACATATCGCACTAGGAGATGTGTTGTAGTTATGCTTGGTTCTATTTCATTTTTATTTGTCAATGAAATAATACAGGAGGAGTAACACCAGCTGAGTGGGTCTTTCATAAGACGATAAGATTTTAAAAATGACTTTACTTTCCTTGATCAGCCCACACTGCTGTCAGTAAAGCATTCCTAGTGATCCACCAGCACTTGCATTACCATAGAAAAGTAGTCCTGTCTGCTGATGTAGTCTGTGACCAGGCGGTCTGGCTTTAAAATATGTGTGCATGCCATCTATCACCCAACTAATTCAGGAAGCCCACTGCTGCAGAGCCATCCACTATGTCCTACACATTGCTGATAGTTACAATCCTGCATAGCTGCAGGCAATTAGTAGCCCTGCATGCATACATGACAGTGGCTTCTGTGGTGGATATCCTGACTCCAAATTGATTCACAACTGACGGATAGCAATCTGGCATTGCAAGTTTCCAGAGTGTGATCACTACTCACTTCTCAGGATTCAGCCCAGATCTCATTTTGATGCCCTGCATTCGCTGCCTGGGACAAGTTTGGCATATAGATCTAGGAATGTAGCCCTGCATATTCAAAAGTTCTGCAGCCGTGGCTCATCATTCTGAAGTTGCATGATGATGCAATTTCATCAGTCAATGTTTGTTTCTTGGGCCCAGAACCAGCACTTTGCTCTCTCCAGCTGCTCCATGAATGCAACCAGCAATCCTGAATTGATTTTTTGGTCTATGTCCCACAGCAATCTAGCTTCCAAGGAATCATTATATTCCCTGCTGCTCCTCTTGAGCCTCTCCAAATACTGCAGGATAATGCACCCTGTCATTGTAACACTCATGCCAATAGTGCAAAACTGTGCAGGCTCTATGCTGCTATCAGACATGACTGACAACGAGGGGAGATATAGGGGCTTGTGGGATTTCCAAAAGAAGACATAAAATTATGGTATGCAAATGAAATTATAGGAGGGAGAAGACTGCTTTATGGGAAGTAGACCCTATACTCCCATTCAACCCTTCACAATTCATTTTGGCCCCATCAGGCATTGCAAATACTTCTCAAAAGTCCCTGCCCTGGACAATGGCGACTTGCACTGTGGAATAACTATCCCTGGTCCACCACACTCTACATCAGTACAAGCGCTCCTGGTGAAGACATGCACTGTTGACCCAAGAAGCCAAATACACTTATGCACAAGCAAGGTACTAACTGGTAGCTGTATGCTGACATAACTAAGGTCAACATAACATTGTAGTGTAGACATGACCTTAGTCAAGAAAGAAGTTTTCAAAGGACTACTGATTACAGCCTACGGGTAGCAGAATCAATTTTCAGGCCCACTCAAAAGGAAGGGAGCAGAAGGGAAACCAGAATAAATATGGTATGTCTGTCAGGCAGGCAATTTCCTGAATAAAAATATAAAGTAATTGTAAAACTGTGTCAGGAATCTCTTCTCCTTCTATCCTGCATGAAAAACAAAAGTCTTTGCAAGTGCTATTTTACAATGCCTCCTCTAACACCTGCTCTGTCTTGATAATGACTCTCATCAACTTTTGTAAAAACCAGAGTATCTCCATTGAAGACAATAATAGATCCCATGCTGTTCACACCAGATGGGGATCTGGGTGGTGTGTTGTTAGTAACAGTGTAGAAGAGCACCTTAACTGGCATACAGAATATTATGTAAATGCATAACGAGGTGATCTACCTTGGAGACGGAGGTAATACTGTGCCGGGTATATCTACACCCCACTGCTCTCTTCTGAAAAAAATGTCAGACTTATCTCCTGCTGCTCAACCATGAAATGGGTAGTGGTGCATGTGAGTGTGCATGCACATGCCCCCACCAGCTAGTAAATTACATTTTTTTCATGGATTTGGATGCCACAGGGGATGAAAATAGTTCTGATAAGTAGGGTATGTGTACACTACAAAGTTAATTCGAACTAACGGACGTTAGTTCGAATTAACTTTGATAGGCGCTACACTAGCGCTCCGCTAGTTCGAACTTAATTCAAACTAGCGGAGCGCTTAGTTCGAACTAGGTAAACCTCATTCTTTGAGGACTAAGCCTAGTTCGAACTTACTAGTTCGAACTAAGGGGTGTGTAGCCCCTTAATTCGAACTAGTGGGAGGCTAGCCCTCCCCAGCTTTCCCTGGTGGCCACTCTGGCTAACACCAGGGAAACTCTATTGCCCCCCTCCCGGCCACGGAGCCCTTAAAGGGGCACGGGCTGGCTACGGTGCCCTTGCAGGTGCAAGCCTGCCAGCACCCAGCTAGCAGACCCTACACCTGGCACGGCTCGAACCAGCCACCCGATGCCCCCCAAACCATGTATTTGTAAGAGGATTTGTGGCACCACTGGAAATACTAGTTTTTAGTATTTTATTAAATCAAGACCAGTCTTCTGTATAGTCTGTCTCAACATTTGAATCAGACAAAATATATCTTTAACAGCAATACTCTTCACCCAAAATGTGTGTTGCTGCTCTAAGGCTAATTTGCACATTTGCTCTCTATAACTAGCTTGAGTAGCGTGCTGTCTATTTTAATTGCAATTAAATATTTCAGGTAGGTTTCTCCTTGAAGTTGCTAGCATCCTCCTTAAATTCAGTCCAAGACCTTTAGTCAGACACTGCAGCAGGGGGCATTTGTCATCTTTCTCAATATTGCAAGAGCTGTGCCCCAGATTCTGGTACCATCAGAATATATGAATGCATGTGTGTTTTTCCACTGAATTTTTTATTCAATAAATAAATAAAACTTTACTGAAGTTGCAGAAGTCTCAAAGGTGCAGGAACCTGTGGTATGAAAAAAGTTCAAAGAGAGTCAGACAGGCTGGCTGGGAGGAATGTGATCATAACTTGATAGGACCTAATAAACTCAGCAGAGTTACTGCAGATTTACACGGATGTAAGAGAAGGAAAATCTGTCAAAAGATCTCGATACTAGAATGTGAGACACAGCTGGTTACAGCTGAGCTGTCCTTGCTGGTGAGAAGAGCTGATGGAGGCAGTGGGAAAGCTTGCTGTAACATCCCTGTTGGCCTTTTGCCCATGGGGCTGGTAAGGCACAGAGAAATTTTTCAGTGTAAGTCATCAAAAATGTTTACTGAACACTGCAGGATTTCACTGATAGGGTGGGAAGTGTGACTCCTACTAATCAACTATTTTTTATCAAGAGCCACATTTCTCGGTCAAGGCATAGTCAAAATCTTGGCTGGCTCTGTGGGCTTCTGGGGGTGGAAGCTCTCCTGCAGCCCCACAATTGCCCCCTCTCCCCAGATGGCAGCCTGCGGCAAGTGCAGTCGGTCTGATGGCCGAGTGCTGTGATGTGCCCAGTGTGGGCACTCAGGGCACTTCAAGACAGGACTGCTTTGCAAGCGGGGCACCCCTGAGAACTGTCTGTCCGGGGTGGGGGCCAGGTCCCTTTAAGCACAGCCCTCGGCTAGCTTGAGGCAGCAGCTCCACGCTCTAAGTCCTAATCCGATGCCCTGCCGGCACTGCTTCCGGCCATCCTTAACCTCGGTTCAGGGTCCACTTAATGTGGACATGCTAGTTCGAATTAGCAAAACGCTAATTTGAACTAGTTTTTTAGTCTGGATCCATTAGTTGGAATTAGCTTAGTTCGAATTAACTAATTCGAACTAAGTTAGTTCGAAGTAGCGCTGTAGTGTAGACATACCCAAACATAATACAATGATTAGATTGTTTTCTCTAATGGGGACAACTATAATGCCCTGTTTGCTGTTTGCCAGCAGACTTACTTCTTCGGCTCAAATGACATCTCATTACACAGAGTTCTGGGACAATACTATGAAGGTGGGGCATAGGTTTCCTTGATCCATTGTATAAGCCAGTAAATGAAGGACTGGATGTTTTAAAAAGATACAGATGCTGATTCATAATCCTTTTATTCCAGTATTCATGTACCCCTGTGTCAGAGTCTTTCACTGTCTCTCAGACCGGAACCCTTTCTTCCACAAAAAAATTTGATTATGAGAAAGATCCACATACGTAAGTATTCATTTTGATCCGCTAATCAATCTCATGGTTAACAGATACCTAGTGTATGGAACCCACGGAGTAATTTTGGTTTGATTTTGTTTTTACTTAACAGTTATTTGTTAAACATCACAGTGACAGACAGCTTAGGACTGAGCGCCACCAGATCAGTGATCGTCAACATTGTTAACATCAATGACGAAACACCTTACTTTACCACGTGAGTGAAACATTCACTCTGTACCCCCCAAAAATACAAATAGTTCTCATGCTTTTCAGCCCCAGCATCATTGGTCCAAACTTTTGGAAGACTGCAATACAACTATTAGCTCAGGGGTGGGGAACTCTTTTTGGGTGGGAGGCCTCTGATCTATAGAAAAATCAGTCAGTGGCTGCACACAAGTGAGAAGCAAAAAAAAACCCCAAACCCAAACCAAAAAACATGGCCCCTGGCTGTGAAGAAAAGTGACTCACCCCATGCACACCAGAGTCTAGGGGGCTCATCCTCGTAAATTTTGTGTGCTCCTGCTCTGTGGTGAGACAACCGCTGGAGGAGCAGAGAGGGGGCTGGAGTGCCAGCGCAAGGTCCCCAATTCGGGAGGGGCTCCTGAGTCTTGGGGGCCAGATCCAGGCAAGCTGGGGGCCACATTCAGCCCCCAAACCTGAAGTTCCCCAAGCCTGCATTAGCTGATAAAATGTCTCATTGTTGTCATGTACTCCTCCCTCTTTCTATAGCCATCTTTCTTAAACTTAGGTTGTAAGCTCTTTGAGGCAGGGGATGGCTTTTTGCTCAGAGTTTATCTCAATGAAGTCCTGCTCCGTGACTGGGGCTCCAACATGCCACAATAATACAAATAATAATAAACTAATGATAATACATAAGGATGATAATTCTGGGTCAGACCAAAGGTCCAGCCAGCCAGTATCCTGTCTTCAAGCAATGGGCAATGCCAGGAACAGAACAGGTAATCATCAAGTGACTGTCACCCATTCCCAGCATCTAGCAAACAGAGACTAGGGACACCATCCCTGCCCATCCTGTTAATAGGTTATTGAGGGATCTGTCCTCCATTAATTTATCTAGTTGTTTTAAGAATCCTGCTGTAATCTTGGCCTTCTTAACATCCCCTGGCAAGGAGTTCCACAGGTTGACTGCATTGTGAAAAAATTGTTTTGTTTTGTTTGTTTGAAACCTAGTGTGTATTAATTTCATTTGATGACCTCCTAGTTCTTATGAGTAAATAATATTTTCTTATCTACTTTCTGCATACCAGTAATGATTTTATAAACCTCTGTCATATCCCCCCCTTAGTTGTCTCTTTTCCAAGCTGAAAAGTCCCAGTCTAATTGATCTCTCCTCATATGGCAGCTGTTCCATACTCCTAATCGTTTTGTTGCCCTTTTCTTAACCTTTTCCTTTTCTGGACCTTTTTCAGTTCCCATACATCTGCATGCAGTATTCAATACGTGGGTGTACCATGGCTGTATATAGAGTCAATATGATCATGGACTGTCAATGAAGGTAGTGCTGGGGGAGGCAAGCCCTCAGCCCCACCTTCAACCCTGCCTCTTCCACTAAGGCCCTGCCCCCCATGAGAGCCACCACCTCCCTACCCTCCCCCACCATGGGGAAGGCAGATGGGCGTGTGTGCCTCAGCCTCCCTGATCTGCAGCACAGGAAGGGAGGAGGACACATGGCCCAACCTCCTAGGCTCTGGAGATGTGGAGGGCAGAGGGCACATGTCACCAGCCTCCCCCGCCCTGGAGCACAAGAAGGGAGGAGGATGCGTGGCCCCACCCTATTATACTGGTCACCCATGAATATAATAGTTTGTCATATCTATGCCTTTCTTAGTGATTCCCAATGTTTTTGACTGCTGCTGCACATTGAGTGGATGTTTTCAGAGAACTATTCACAATGATTCCAAAATCTTTACACCCCATCACTGTATGTGTATAAGAGCTTCGGGGGCTTGCTGAGTTAGTCTGTTACAGAAAAACAACAACAAATGGTCTGGTAGCACTTTATAGGCTAACAAAACATGTAGATGGTATCAGCCCACTTCTTCAGATGACTGGAGTTCTGAGTAGGGGATATGAAAACTCAAAATAAATAGGAGAGGGGAAGGAGAAAAAGAAAAAAGGAAGGGGTGTTTGAGACAGAGCATCATTAAGTATCTAGAGAATGGGTACTTAAACCTAAGCAGATAAAAATCAAAGTCAGTAGATAGATTGCTAAGACAGGAAGGATACCACTCAGAGAGCTGTTAGCACCTTCAGTGGTTATTAAAAAGGTAGTGTCCTAGCCAGCCCATATCACGACTGAGTCCATTAGCATGTGAATTGAATTTGTGGATGAACTGGGATTCCAGTCATGGCCTGTGACAAGACAGCCACCTGCAACATAATTTTCAGAAACAGATGAACAATTTTGGAGGAAACTTCTGCCTTCCGCCCTTTAAAAAAAAAAAAAATTTAGCCTGAGGTTGACACCCAAAGAGAAATTTCAAAGTTATAGGCAACTAAAAACAAAATATTATATTGGGAACTGTCAGGCATCCCTAATAATTCCTATTGCTCTTGGCTCCACCATTAATTACTGGGCTGACAAGTTTACAAAGTGTAACAGGGAAAAACTGAAAAGCAACAGACAGTCTATTAGCACCTCAAAGAGAGGAGAGTTAAAGGAGGCAGATAAGAACCATTAGTTTGCACTTGGAGAGGAAGAGTACTAACAACAGATTCTATACAGACATCAAGAACTATTGGCACCTTCATTGTTTGTTTGGTTGATAATGTCCCAGCCATCCAATATCGCAAGTTAGACCATCTGCATGAGAATTAAACTTGTGAATGAAGTGGAGTTCCAATCATTCTTTTTGTATTTGGCTTGTGGAATTGGTCTATAACAAAACAGCAACTTGGAGATCCCTTAGTGAGTGTCTAGGGAGATTAAAGTGTTCCCCAACATGTTTTGTGTGTTCCCTTTTCCGGTATCTGATTTTCAGATACCAGACTCTTTATTTTTAAGTTTTTCTTGTTACAGACTAACTCAGTTACCCATCTGAAGGATTTTTTTTCAGAGCAGGAACAGGGAATAAAACTGAAAAAAGACTGAGAAATTGGAGGGGGGTAAATTTTGGTGCCAGCAAATTTATTTTGCCGTGGAAAGGAAAGTGGGCTATAGTGGTTAGAAAAGACATTTGCTAGGTTGAACTCTCAAATTCTAGATCTCACTCTGCTGATGACTGTCTGTGCGGTCTTGAACAAACTATTGAGGTATTGTATCCATTTTACAGAGGTTATCTACCTCAAAGCAGTGTTAGAATTAAGGGGCTTAGTCTTCATTTGCCCCTCCTAGTCTTCTCCTGCTTTTGGGAGCAACCAGGGCCCAAAATGGACCTTGGCACATGTTGAAGCAAAGGAAAGACTGATCTAAGTCATGGCAGGATGTAATGCCCTGACACAAGCTGTTATGCCTGTGAAGATCAGCCAGAGTGCAATGAAGTTCTGTGGTGCTCTCTATACTGAGAGAGTAGCCAGCTACAGTAACTTATCACCATGCCAAAAGACTTCTAGCTGCTTCACTGGCTGCTTTGTGCTGCCTAAGCAGTGGAAAGTGGCTGGAATAGGGGCAAAGGAACTGTGTGTGGTCTGTAAAGCCTGAGATGTTTGGTAAAATAGAAGAACAAAGTACTGTCACAGAAATGGCTTTTTCTGCCTGTCTATTTGATGCTTAAAATGCATGAAGAAAACAATTACAAGGGAGGGCTTTAAATATAAATGGTCCAGATTATGCTGCTGGTCCCATACATGAAGGAAGAGCCTATATTTCAGATCTACTGTGTGTATTTATCAAACCATATTGTTTTAAGTTGATTTTGTCCCCTCCAAACATTGTCATTATTGTTATTTTATCAAGGAGACTGGAAAGATCACTGGCATTATGCTAAATATCTAGCTATTTTTTCCAACCACAGGTCTCTCATTGATCCCTGAATAAAATGGTCTCTTTCTATTCAAAATAAGGATTTCTATTGATATTACAATCCAAATAGCACAGCTCAAGTAGTTTATAAAGAGCTTGAGATCCCAAAGGTTAAATGATACTACATTAATTGACCTCCCAGGTCACTATTGAATCTCATACAAAAACATGTAAGCTCCATGCCTGGAGTTTATACTTCATAACTCTGTCTTAATTAGAGCACAGGTGAGAGTTTGGGAAATCTTGACAAGTTTGCATACTAGTTTTCATTTTTCTTGAGCAAAGCTTTTAGGATAAAAGTTTGAAAGTCTTTTTAATAGTGTCCACAATATATACAAACTGCTGTTTTTGGTGGGCAAACTGTTATATCGGCAGCCAACCCTTTCAAGCTGTCCTCAGTGATGGCAGATGACAGAACAAGAAGAAATGGCATCAAGTTGCAGTGGGAGAGGTCTAGATTAGGGATGTTAAGGACTAGCCTCCGCAGCGGCGTTTCTAAGGGGCAGCACTACACAGAGCCCAGGGTCAGCTGGGGACTCCCCAGCTGACCCCGGGCTCCACCTGGTGCTGCCACTGTGGCATTTCAAAGGGGCAGTGCTGCACAGACTAGCTGACCTTGGGCTCTGTGCAGTGCTGCCCTGCAGCAGTGTTTCAAAGGGGCAGTGGCGCCCTATTGACTAATCGAATGGCCAGTGCAAAAATACACTATTTGATTAGTCATTTACACGATACTTAACATCCATAGTCTAGATTGGCTATTAGGAACAACTGTTTCACTAGGAGGGTGGTGACACACTGGAAGAGGTTACCTAGAGAGGTGGTGGAATCTCCACTCTCAAAGGTTTTTAAGGTCCAGCTTGACAAAGCCATGGCTGGGCTGATATAGTTGGAGCTGATCCTGCTTTGAGTAAGGTGTTGGACTAGCTGACTTCCTGAGGTCTCTTCCAACCCTAGACATCTCTGATTCTGTGAGTTGTGAATGCCCAGCTTTTCTAAATAGTCCTTAATGTGTTCTTTCATCACTGAGGGCTACTTACTTCCATCCCATATCATGCTGCCCAGTGCAGCGGACTGGGAACTGATCTCGTCTGTGAATACAGAGCCAAAAAAAGCGTTGAGTACTTCAGCTTTTTCCACATCAACTGTCACTGGGTTGCCTTCTCCATTCAGTAAGGGTCCCAAACTTTCCTAGATCATCATCTTGTTGGTATCCTACCTGCAGAAACCTTTCTTATCTTTCACATTCCTTCCTTGCTGCAACTCCAGTTGCATTTTGGCCTTTCTGATTACACCCTGGCATGCTCAAGCAATATTTTTATACTTCTCCCTAGTCATCTGTCCAAGTTTCCCCTTTTATAAACCTCCTTTTTGTGTTTATGTTGACCAAAGATTTCTCTTTTAAGCCAAGATGGTTGTCTGCCGTATTTGCTATTCTTTCTGAACATTGGGATGGTTTGTTCCTTCACCCTCAATAAAGCTTTTTAAAAATAGAAAGAGCCACAATTCTATGAATATCAAACAATACTGACACTTGGGAGGGAATGTGGGGGACATTGATTTTCCTCTGTTGAATTTCTATGTCTATTCTAGAAAAGAGAAAGTCTACAGGATTCCAGAGGAAATCAGCTCAGGAACTGTTGTGGCCAATATAACAGCTAAAGATCCAGATGATGAAGGCTTTACTAGTAGACTTGTCTACAGCATCCGTCCACCTAATATGTATTTCTCCATAAATCCATGTAAGACAAAAAAAATACTATTTGTCCTTCAATCTGTCTGTGCTTTTTCAAACAAATAAAAGAAACTATCAGGGTTAGGATGCTTCTTTGACTTCAGTTTTAAATTGTCTTATTTTCATGAGCAGTGAGTGAAGCTGCCGATTGGGGAGGCAAACTCCACAGCTCTGGCCCCACCTATACCCCACCCCAGATTTTGTCCCAAGCCACATGCCCTGCCCATACCCCCTGCCCTCTGTCTAAGCCACACCCCCCTGCCCACTGTCTCCCTTTTCTATTTCCTCCCCCTCCCTGCTCACCCCCTTCCAGAAAAATCCCTGAACCTAAATGTAGCTAATGACATTTGAAAAAAAAAAAAAAACAACAACCCACTTTTCTGCAATTTTTTCTAAAGAAAATGGAACATGTTTTCTACTACATACTAGATTGTTAAGACTGGACATGCAGAAGATACCTAAAATTTGGGAATAAAAAATGTTAGTCACAGATTTTTTGATACATCCTGAAGTTTGTCAGTGATTTGCAAAAACTTTGTAGTAAGGGCAAGTCAGTTGTCCTGCTCACTATAACATTAAATATTATGGAATTCAATATGATACAATTCTTCTGTTTTACATTTTCTTAACGAGTACAGGCAGTCCCCGGGTTACATGGATCCGACTTACATCAGATCCCTACTTACAAACGGGGTGAGGCAACCCCGCACTAGCTGCTTCCCCCCAGCAGACCAGGGAGACGCCAGCAGACCAGGGAGACGCGAAGCGGCTTTTCTCAGCAGACACCTCAGCTTGAGAACAAAGGACTAAGGGAAGTGAGGTGTGGGAGAATAAAACTGAGCTCTGGAGAAATGTTTGGCGAGAGTTTCCCCTACAGTATGTACCAGTTCCGACTTGCATACAAATTCGACTTAAGAACAAACCTACAGTCCCTATCTTGTACATAACCCGGGGACTGCCTGTATTCCTAAACCGATTTTATATTTTAAATGTATAAAGTAATCATTTCTGTTTATTACATATTTAATGTACTGAAGCAGACATTTTTAATTAGTCAGAGCAGTTTAGTGTGTTCATAACAAAGTTCACTGCTTTTAGAAAAAAGGAATGTTAATTTATTTTGTGTGATCTGCATAGCAATAGCATAG